ATACATACATATGTGTGAGCGTAATGCACATACCTAAATGTAGAAAAAATCTCGGCAATATTGTAAGTTATTTGCTGGATGCGCTCATAAATGCAGAAAATGTATGCAACCAACTCTGAGCTGGGTGAACTAGTTCGCGTGTTGGTATTCGCAAAAAAAAAGCAAAAATGGAAAATTGTCCGCAAGGAAATCGAAAAAAAATAAAGCAAAACCAAACGCGTTGGTAGCAGCTATTGGCAACAACAACAGGAGTGCATAGGTAGTAGGCGCTTTGACAGTTATAGTGACCGTTCATATCGACGACCAACTAGTCTGACAGTCAGCCGCCAGTCAACAAGCCAACCAGTCTACAACGAGTTTTCTACTTTCCCAGCACCTTGGGAAGCAGCAGCAGAGGCGACACGGCCAACTGGGTGAGATGAGTACAGCGTTCAGGGCCAGCGCTTCAATGGCATCAGCGGCAGCATCTACTTAAATTGTGGCAATGGGAGATTGGTGCACAGCATAGTTTCTGATTTGAGTTTGCCTTACGAGTATACGAATTGTTGGTGCACGCGCACGCACGCAACGCTTTGGGGGCGAGGGCGGCATGCAGGTTAATTTTATTAATGAGACATTTTGTTGTTGCTGCCGGTTTTTCAGTCGCATTTACTAGATACATGTTGTAGATGTCGCTGTTAGTTTTCTTCGACGTCTTGTTGTTATTGTTATTATTTTTGTTGTTGTTATTATTTTTGTTGTTGGTGTTGGCGCACTTCACTTTCTACGCGGCAGAAGCCGTTTCAACTAAAGGCTTGTTAGCCGCTAGCCGGTAGCTGTACATATATGGCGGTAGCGTAGGTTGCAGAGGGTGAGGAAGAAATTTAATTTTGTACGTGTAGAAATGTTTATACCCAGTTAGCTATTTTTTTAATTGTAAAATTTTGAAACTTTTGCATATTCCTTCTTCCACTCTTGCGTAAAGTACAAATTTTCAAAAATATGTCTCCTTAAAAACTAAAGTCCTATCTGTTTTTAACATTCCCATCGTGTATGCAGTGCAATATTACCATTGGGATCTCTATGAACTCTTTGGAGTCAGATAAACACCGAATGTCCACTAGGCTTTGTATTGATAAAAAAATATGCGCCATTTAAAAATTTTCACTTTGTCAATAAAATGTTTGCTGTAAATTCCCAGTAGGAATCCAATATAAGAGTTGCCTATAAATATTTTGTTACCACTACCATTACCGTGTGTACGTTTGGATCGGGGTTAAAAAACTTGGCCAATTTTTAACTTCCTTGCGAAATTACGCTGAGCGACTCACACCAAGCGTGGTTAGGTCCTTTTGAATCCATGGATCCAAATCATCATCCAAGCCGTCAGCATGCCTAAGGTAGCCTAATACCATGTTCTGACCGACATCGAAAACATGTTTTCATTGCTAAAACTGGTTTTCGACCTAAAACTTGTGTTTTCGTCCATGTAAAATCTGTCAAACGAAAACCAGTTTTCGCTGAAAACTACTTGAAAACTCAAACTTATTCCAATCAATCAATTTTATCATCTTTAATACGCTGTTTCGGATTTATTGTTAAATGACTGGCCAAAGTAAAATAAGAATGAAAGTAAGAGGTTGTTAATGAAAAGAAAATGAGTGAAAAGCATTTTGGTTTTGCTTTTGTGTAGCAAAACTGTAATCAAAGGATGTAAGAAATGTCAACGAAAACACTAACAGCCCACAATCCCAAAATTCGTTTTCAAAGTGTTTTCGTTGTCGGTCAGAACATGGTATAATAGCTCTTTTGTGAAGTACATAGTTTTCTCGAAAGCTTCCTAGCTGGAACTTACCTTTGATTTTTAGCAATTTTTTTGTTGACGGGGACACACGTTTTCCTCCGTACATAGTAAAAGATTTTTTTTTATAGAAATTCTGAATAGAAAGTTTGAAATTTTGATGAACATTTATTGAAAATTCTCGAATTTTTTATAAGTCTTGTACTAAGTTTAAAATTACATGGTTTTTGTTAGAAAATGAGCTATACATAATTTTATAAAAAAATCATAAACATTAAATAAACAAAAGAAAAGTAGCCAAAACTTTTTAAAATATCGCGTTCTTATTCGTTATCCCACTACCGTAATCCAAGATATGTTGGTGTTTACCTAAATAGCTACGCATACATACATACATATTTGCACCTGTAAGTAGATATGAATGTAAGTACAATACGTGCACTTTCATTCATAGCCTTCCACCCACCTCAATAAAATTTGCAAAATATTAGGACACGTACCAAAAGCTCCGTTCAATGTCAATCAAAACCTAAGAAATCGAAAGTCAAATCACTAAACGCAAAAGTGGAAAATCAAATGTTTTATCAGCACGTCAATCATTGAAATTTCGTTGGCTATGAAAACGCCTATGTAAAGTGGTGATTACACATTCACATTTGTATGTAAGTACATATCTATGTATCTACAAGTATTTAAAAAAAAAAAAACAAA